AGAATCTGTTCATTCTGATCACAGATATTGTTACTATTTCTGATAATTTACTTAACATTGTCCTAAAGGACAGTTTTATAAATATATTTTAACTTAATTAAAATAAACAAAGTTTTAGTAGTTATCTTTATCATCAAGTAAATGCCACACCTTTAAGCTGTCTTCAACTTGTGGCGACCAGTGTCTTAAACCTTACAGTGTAATGTTTAAGACACTGGTTGCTTTAAACATTAATTGCTTACAGTACATAATTTAAATTGTTGGCATTCTTTAATTATATATGCTGGATGAATTAATTAATAATTTAAATGAATTGTTATTCATTTAAATTATTAATAAATCTTCAAGTTATAAATTTTAAAAAAATTGTTTTAAACTTATTTTTAGTCAATTAAAATCAGAATTTCCATTAACTGTAGTCTTATTTACCTTGCTTAACTTTATTTGTCTATTATCAATCAGTGTAGATGGGCCCCAAGTGATTAGAATACAATAGAATTTACTTATTGTAATTTATAAGCAAACATGTACAGGTAACCCCCATATAACATAGAAGCTAAGTTCCAAAAAATTAACGTTATGCAAATCTGTGTTATACGAAAATAGGGTTAGGTTCCGAAAATTAAAAAAACATGCTGTTAAATCTTTCTTTACATCGGATTTATTATTCATTTTTTTTTATGGGTAAAATACTTATTTATTATTTAAGTAAATATTTTACCAGAGGATTATTCATTCTATATGATGATCTCAGCATGAGCATCATCAACTGGTAACAGTTTTCGGTGTGTTCGTTAGCGGTTGCTCTGTGTCTCCACTACAACGGAAGTGCGCTGCTGTTTGTAGGCATTTAGGGACGACGGTGAAAAAAAAAAAAAGATGGCAGCAGCCACACTATCGATAGTATTGTGATGGAGGAATCTATAATTCTAAAATATGAGCTTTTAGAGGCAAAAGAAGGGTTCCAATTGTAAAATTTAGCCATTAAATGGATTATTTATTGAAAGAGCATTCAAAGTAGCAACAAAAAAAATTAGAATGCTCATGCGGAGGTATAAAAGAATGCACCCTTTATTACATTTCATGTTGTACGAGGGTTTTACCCAATTTCCGAACTGTGTTAGAGTGAACCCGTGATATAAAAGCACTATTATACGGGGATGTTCCCAATTCTCAAACTGTATTAGAGTGAATCCATGCTATAGAAGTGCCGTGTTATACGGAGGTTACCTGTACTTATATTCATATAAAAACAGGCCTGATATTAAAAATCAAAGAATAAAGCAAGATTCATTATTGCTAATTAAATATACAGATATTACATAATATCTGTATATTTAATTAGCCAAGTTATAGACAATGTGCAAATCTAGCTTAACATTTAATTAAAACTCAATTTAAATTCAAGCCAAAATAAATCTTCTGGATATGTCACTCTACATATAAATGAAATATTTGATAACATTCATATAGTGTCAAGATTGAATTGTAAAGATTCATTTAGTTCAGTATTTTTAAAGTTTTAATAGTTCAGACCTTGCATTTTATATGCTGATTGTATTTCAATGCTTAAGAACTATATATGTACATACATTCTGCAATTCTAAAAACTGTTCTACAGCATTATACAGACTGTGTTTTTATGTTTTATATATAAATTTATAAAATCAGGACAAAACATCCTTTAATATCTAGCAATAATTAACAAAAACAGACATTTTCAACTATCTTTAATAGTCACTTTCAGGTCTGAACAAAAAAATTATAAAGCTGTTACATTCTGAAAATGTCTCATGCCTAAAAGTATCTACATTATAATTTCAAACAGTGCACAAGTTTTATTATAAACTTTTAGATTTATTTATTTTATTTATTTTTAGACTGTTTCTTCTATGCATGAGACATTCTAGAATGTAACATGTAATGGCTTTACAATTTTATGCTTAGACCTAAAGATAACTTAAATATAGTTAAATTAAAAAAAGATGTTTCCATCAATGAACATCATTGTTATGTATTGAACTCATTTATCTAACTTAAACTTATCTATGCTTACTAAGTAAATTGGCAAATGCTGACGAAAATACATAATTAATTCTGCAGATTAAAATTATTTCAGAGTTTTCAAATTACTATGTGTAAATATATTCATTATAAGAAATAAATTTTAGTGCTAAATAATACATCAATACAGTACCACAAAAAGCACTGTCACTATATTTTATTTATTTCTTTCAGTGGGAAAAGGGAAAGGATCAACTTTCCATATCAAATACAATACATTGGTCAATCACATTGGCCTTTCATTTATTATGATGAATTTTAATGTCAAAATAAAAAAAAGCACTTTGACTGGTAACATCACAATTTACAGAGCTACTTATACTGCATACTACACCTTAGGATACAGTATGCTGTTGTTTAGAGTGATTGACTATAAAGCTTTGTTGATCTTTACAATACATTCAACAATTGGGTTAAGAATGCAATGGACAGTGAATTATTAAAAAAATTGTTGTCCTATAAGATTGACTGTGCATCTTTTTATATTCAGCAAAATGAGCTTCTAGTAATTATTGACATTTGATTTTTGTGTTTTGTTCAAAAAATGATTTGTGCATATAGATTTAATGAAGAGCTTTTGCAAAAAATTTTTAATGCACTTCAAACTCTAAAAATTGCAAGTATTTTTCGTTGGGTACATTACAACTTGTCTCTGCAAATTCAGGACAATTTTTTTAAACTTAAGTTCTTCTTTTTATATTAAGTCACTGAATGTTTAGAAAAATTAATTCTCTATAAACAAATTTTTTACAATCAATGTATCAGACCCTGTAAGAAAATTTACTATTTGCCAATGAATATCACACCAAAAGTTTTTATAATTCAATTAAAAATTGCAGTTTGTTACTTATTGTATTTCAAATCACCAATAAGCTTGATTGTAAACCACAATTACATATCACTACGTAAGCTTAAAATGCATCAATCCTCTACATAAAAACAGAGTGAAACATCACACAGTTGTAATAGGCCAATTGATCAAATTGAGCAATGTTGTTTCATTTTAAATTAATAAACTGAAGTGTAAAAAATTATATACAAAACATTAGTATAAAATATATTAACAAACTATATTATGTAAGATGCCAATTCATTTTGCAGAACAGACAACTGTTTGCAAATATTTTAATGTCTGAAGTTCATACATATTTGCTATTTATTATATAAATAAATACAAAAACTTAAAAGATCTTAAATGATTTCTTATGTATGATTTACAGAAACTTATTTTGGTGTGATATAGTCTCTTTGGCAGACAGTACAACATTTATACATACAGTACTGTGTAATGTAAATATGAATATGCCAAAAATAGCACACTCTAAATTTCATGTTTCAATGTTACAGCACATGCTAACTAGCACCAAAATCTGACATTTGTTCACTTATCAATATAATGACTTGTAAAATAATAAACTAAACTAATGTAAATATCTGTTCAAAATCATTTTAAATTTTGTTGTATATATTATAGATAAAATGGATGGGAATAACAAAATATGACAAAATAATTACGAATTTTTACTAAACATGATCTTTTCCATTAAAAAATTAAATTTATAGCAATGATTCTTGAGTAGTAATGGTGCATTTTTTAAAAATACAGTAATACAATATATATTTGATCATTTTAGAGCTTAACATAACAATTAAGCACAAACAAAAAAAAAAAAAAAAAAAAATGTCACAAACACACAAAAATTCACAACTCTTTATCAGTATGAAAATTGTTTTCTTCTACTTGGAGTCAAATATAAGGTTTTTTTTTATTTTTTTTTTGCATCATTTAAAAAAGAGGCACCAAGCCATATATAGCTTGCTTAGTTGACAAAGTTTTTCTCATTCTTTTTTCTGAGTCCATTTCATATCATCCGTCCTTGGTTTGTATCCCGTTAGGGATTCGATAATCCATTCCATCCCTGACCAAAAATGAAGTTTGTCAAGTGGATAATTGAGCCAGCCAGTTGTAATGCAAAAGTAAGTTTCATGAGGTGCTACATGATGAATACGATGATGAAGACGAGGTAAAACTACATGCCAGTCTTGTAATAATGTAACCCAACGAGGTAGTCCAAAATAAGTATGAGACCATTTGTGAATCTGAAATTAATAATTATATATATATATGCATTGATCAAATCATTGCCAAATAAAAAAAAACACATTTTGTTTGATATTAGTAGTTGAATAAGAAATGTAGAGAAATAAAAATCCAGAATTAAAATTTAAAAATTATATTACATGATAATTTTTATACTTAAGACTAAAAATTTAATATTTTTCAATATAAATAAGACAGAATTGAACAGCCAAATTTTATATAAATATTATGCAAACATCTAGGCTAATCATGTATGTAGTGTCAGCTAGGCAAATATTAAACCAAAAACATTTTGTATTAACAAATAGCATTCCAAATAAAATAATCTGAAAAATGATCTTGATAGCAATTTATATTTTATAGAAATAATAATCATAAAACATATATGTGAGGAAACGAATAAATTCATTGAACAATATGCAGCTGAAAAGCATAGCAGTTCATTGGGAAAGATTCATAAGCAGAAGAAGATGCAAGAATGGAAAGAAACAAACCTGATGAAAGTTTGCTTATCAGAAAGTATTTTTCTAATCAGCAATTTTCTTCAGGCTTATTTCTTTCCATTCTTTTAGTGGGGATTGTATGGAAGCCTAATTTACAGTCCTATTTCACCAGAAATCTGATGATAACACTCCAATATTTTCTGAAAACATGATGAACAATTAATTTCTTTTATTGATTTTTCCAGCAGTACCAATAAAAATAAGAAATTATACAAAATTGATGATCTGTTACAGTTATACAGAAATAGTTTGAAAGAACCTTAGGTACCCACCTGCAATATTTTTATGATGAGAATGTGTTACTATGGAAAGGGAGGTTGAGTTGGAGGATGCTTATTCCCTTAAAAAGAGCCAGATTTGAAATTGAAGAGATTTGAAAAGAGCCAAATTTGAAAATTGGCTGTTTATAACTATAATTTATACTGGAAAGGAAACAGTCATTCAACAAATGTTGTCCTTTCACTAATCCAAGTTCTTGATAAAAGCTATTATTTAGGAGTTGGCAGTTGTTATTTGAGTGTGTATTTATTTGAATACCTGTTGGCTAATCAAATTAATGATTAGCCAACAGATATTCAGAAAAAATAAGAACTTCCTAAAGATGTCTCCCATTTCTTTAGTTTGGAAAAAATAGCATCAGTCAGGTATAAAAATAAACTCATGCTAATGAAATGGAAAGACTTGGAGGGTCTGATTATGAGTTTGATGTATGATGCATCAATAATGACAATACTGATAAGAGGAAGAAAACACAAAGGGAAGCCAAAAGTCTGCCTTAAGTACACACATCACATGGGAGGAGATAATCTCATAGATCACAATTTTTTTCAACAATGAACACTGCAAGGACACATTTTAAAAAATATATATATAAAAATATATTTGAGATTTCTGGATGTATGTGTACTCAATGCACATATTATATACAGGGTTCCTACTCAAATTTTTGTTTTGAATTCCCTGACTTTCCCTGACCAACTTTGTCCAAATTCCCTGACCCTCACATTTTTTAGTGTGGAATATCGACATAATAAAACAGCATTTACTGTTAACATTGAGTAGATTTAGCCCTCTTTTTGCACAGTTGATATGCTTCAAAGACTGCCACATTAAAAAAATATAGTACATACATCCTGTAGAAAAATGTTTGATAGAATCCACAACTTCAATGTAATGAAAAAATAAGCAATTTACAAACAAAACACAAGCTTTTTATTTTATCATCATTTATCATTATTATTTGTATGTAAATCTAGTAAATACAAGGTAACATAAAATCAACAAAAATTATTCTTTGATAAACAAATAGTACTGTACTGTGCTTAAAATGAACTCTTGATTTAGAAACACATAATTTTAAAATCAATCTTTCAACAAAAAGAGTAACTTTTTTTTAACCTTTTTACATTACCATCTGTTGCATATCTTAAAAACAGTTATTGCAAATATAATGTTTAAACATGCATTATTATATGGATAGGATAGATAGGGTGTGACCCATATCCTATTTCTGAGATCAAAGAATGTTTTGATGAGAAGAAATAAAACTCATATTTAATCACTGAGCCTTCTACTGCCCCCATGAAAGCCTCCAGTGCCCGCAAAGGGGCGTTATCACCCACTTTGAGAAAGGATGATCTAGACCAGTGTTTCTCAACCCAAAACTCATCGCAGACCGGAAAATATCTGCTTTTTTTAAGTGGACCAGTGACAATATTATTTTTAATTGAAAAAAATTCTCTGTTGTAAAAAGAACTGCAAACTACATTGAGCAATAAATATTTGTTATTTTATTTACCAGTACATTAGTATACAAATCAATGTGATCGCTGCTTTTCTTTTTTGCTAGTAAGATCATCAATTCTTGGAGTTAAGGCGGTAACTGCAAGGCGTGAGGCAGAACTAATACTATAATGATTTTGTTGTTTCAATTTTATCATTACCATTGCTGAAAACATTGATTCACATAAGTACGTTGTTGAAAAAGGTAGTAACATCCTAACTGCCTTTTTATGTAAAACTGGATATTCAGATTTAACTTTAATCCAAAACTGTGTTATGGGCATTGATTCAAACAATGTTTTAAATCCCAAGTCTGAACTTAATTTGATTAGTTTTTCGTATTCAAAGTCGTTCAATCTATTAGTTTGCTATCAATAAACGGATTAATAATCCACATATTTCCTATTTGAGAACAACGCATGGCAGGTTAAATATATATTTTTAAAGTTTTCGCGGATCGGTCAGATTAGAGTTGTGGACCGGTGGTTGAGAAACACAGGTCTAGACTATTCCTCGAGTTTCTATAAAAAATTTCTGTTCATTCCTTTTTTTCTCTAATAATTAAATTATTTTACGTTTTTGTATTTTAGTTCCGGACAATTCCGGAACCTCACACTTGTATTCCTATGAAGTCATAGTATTACGAAAATTGGGATTCTTAAAACTTATAAAATAAAGTAAATACAGAAATAAACAACAAACGAAATTACAATTATACGTTATTAAAATATAGAAGTTCAGCGCAGAGAATCGTAACTACAAATCTCTTTCTTTTGCAACATAACTATAAAAATTGTTTTGGTGTTGTTTCGCACAAAAAATAATCAAATTTATTTTAATTTTTTAGTAATGTAATTATTTTTTTTTAAATTTACAGCTTTTTAATTTTTAAATTTTAATTATAAGCAAGTTAACATTGGTTAAACTATCGGATTACCTGTTGATTTTCGAAAATATAACTACAGAATATTTATTACAAGCATGATCAATCTTGCCAGTTTTTAAGCCCTAAATTTGCCAAAATCAGTGATATTTGTTACCCAATATCATTTCAGTTAACTAATTATTAAACTATGTATCGAAGTTGCGGAAAAAAACGGAAGAGAGAGGGAAAATATGCTTGCAGTACAGTACATTCAAGGAAAATCGTAACAACAA